TTCCCCTAAAAAGAGTAGAAACTCAAGAGCAGAAACTCACCCCCACCTTTGTTAATGGGTGGGCCATTAAGGCCTGGGCCAGAATACTTTACATCAGGGGTCCCCAACCACTGGTCCCCGGACCGGTACCGGTCCGTGGATCATTTTTTACCGGGCCGCAAAGCTTGGGCGCCGCCATCTTGTTTCGACAGCGCTTCCGGGTTTTCGGTTGGAAAGCAGCGTTTGGGTGCTCGCGCCTTAGTTTCGTCGAAGGGGGGGGCGGCTTCGAACGAAGAGCCGTCCCGATGGCGGTGGAGTCTCACGTTACTCAGGTACCGGTCCGTGGAAGAATAAATAATCGTGAAACCGGTCCCTGGTTCAAAAAAGGTTGGGGGCCACTGCTTTACATAACCTATAGCAATTGCCAAAAGCCCTTTTCAGTGCACCTTCATCCAGCAAGGCTCAACCAAGCCTGGAACTCAGGACAGCCTACAGAGTTGCCCCTGCATGGCCCCATGGGAGTCTGACAACCAATTAGAATACAAGCTTCAATTCAAATCCCAACAAAGGCTATAAAACTCAGGCACTCTCAGCATATCACTCCTTTTCTTGGTCTCTTCCTTCACCTTGAAGCATGTGATCATCCTTTTCACTTTAGAGCTTCAAGACATGTGGTCCTGTCCACTATTAAACCTTCCAAACATCCTCCATGTTTCCAGTGTCTTTTTCCCCACTTGGAACTGAATCCAGAAGGAGATTTCTTCCAACAAAGCCCTAGAATTCTGGGAGTTGAAGTTCACTAGTCTTAAAAGTTGCCAAGTTTGGGGACCCCTGCCTTAGAGTAACAATCCCACTCTCCAAAAACCCTAAGGTTTTACAAAAAGAAATGTTATCTTTATTTGAATACAGCATCAAACCTTTAAGAAACATATTTTCCATAAAAATTGCAAAGAGCTGCTTCGCACAGAAATTCTCAAAGAAAAAGGAATAGGAAAAAAGTAGAGAATTTGATAAGGTGCCCCTACTCCAGTTTGCTGTATTTCAAAGAATTCAGGCACCATTCTATTTATCTTATATTTTTTTTCCTATTATCTTCCCATCAAGTAGCTTTCCTTTTCTAGTTTCAAAATCTCTGAAAAGCCTGAATTTTTATCATTAAAATGAAAAGATAGAATTATGCAGAATAGTCCAATCTCCAAACATTTTATACATTTCAGAAACTTTATGAGGCATTGTCCACATACTTTTCACAGCTGTTATGAGCAGTTTGTCTGAGTCAGCAACTTTACATATTTGAGGCCTCAAAGTACTGCAATTGCCATGTTCTACTGATGTTGTGACATTTTCAGGTTTGTGGGGTAAAATCACACAGGATTTGGGGAGGACCATTTTTAAAATGGACCTTAAATTTACAGAACTATTTAAAAATTGGGCTAAAACGGTTATTTGGGGTCATAAGTTAGCATAATCATAGCCAGATTGCCTGTAACCTATCCCCCTATTTTACTGCAATGAAGCCAGAATTTCTAATTGAGCAACAAATCGAATAGATATAGAAATATAGGAATAAATAGAAGATGGAAGGGACCTTGGATGTCTTCTAGCCCCCCCTCCACAGCAGGAGAACCTATACCATTTCAGACAAGTGACTGTCTCTTCTTAAAAACCTCCAGTGATGGAGCGCCCACAATTTCTGAAGGCAAGCTGTTCCATTGATTAATTTTCCCCACTGTTAGGAAGTTTCTCCTTAATTCCAGATTGCTTCTCTCTTTGATTAGTTTCCAACCATTGTTTCTTGTCCTGCCCTCTGATGCTTTGGTGCCCAATATCACATCAATCAAATACAATTTCCCCCTAAAATGGGTACTGGGAATTGTTACCGGATGTTTCATGCAATCCAATGTCACATAAGACATTTTACATTTCAAGGCTGTCAGCCTGATCCATACCTCAATATAGAACTTTGCAGCATGCATACGTTCAAGCTGCAGCTCTTTGCCAATTCCCATTTCATCCCACAAATCTAGTAGTTTTCCTATTGCTTGATTCACACTATTAAGCAGGGAAGAAGCCAAAACTTCACTGAAAAAGAGAAGAGTTATTTTAATGCCACAATGACGATGTAAGCATTGTCATTCTCAAAAGCGCTTCATCAAAAGGCAACTGGACTTTGTTTTTCCTTGAAGACATTTTACTTCTCATCCAAGAAGCTTCAGTTCGGTTCCCTTCTTCAGAATTCTCATTGGCATCACATTAGTATTAATATTGCATTCAGATGTAGAGGCCTGACAGTATACATGTAATCCCACTTTTTCTAAAAAATATATAACATGCCTCCAGACTTCTGGTTCTTGTTGTGCCTTGTAGTTTTGATTTCTGATAAGTGCTTGGACATGTTTTCCTGGCAAGGCTTTTTGTACTGTTTGCCACTGCCTCCTCCTTAGGGCTGAGAGAAATTAGTGTAGCTCAAATGCCTAAGGTGGAACTGGAACTTACTATACCAAACTGGCTGTCCAAAATTTCTGTTACTATATTTATTGTACTTTTGTACTTCTAATAAAAAGAGGTTTAAAAGGATACAAGTCCTTCAGTGATTGAAAAGGCTAGAAATTTAATTGAAGGCAAAAATAAATACAAAAAGTTCCAGATTCCCTCCACTATAAATCTCAGTGGAAAACACAGTATGCTCAGTAACAAAAGATAAATTACGTACAATAATACTTTTAAGTGTTCAGAACCCCCTTTCCCCCTTGTTTTGAAACGAAGAGGCAAAATAAGCCAATGTTATGGTCCTCATAATATGCAAGGAGAGATGGACAGGGAAACCCCAGGACATCTTTCCCAAAGCAACCTGATGACTTTAAGTAGCTTAAAATTGATATATCAGGAGAAAGACATCCTGGAATCTGGTTTGACTCCTGGGACTTCGTGGACACACAGTTTTTGTTTTGGCAGCCAAATATAAGGGGTTAACCACTGCCTCCATTTTAAAAAAAATATCCTGTTCATCATTTTTCCCTTTTTTTCTAAATTTCTTGGTCTTTTGGTGTGAATTGCAACCAAGCCCAGTCAATACTGTTTGTTTATGTTTTAGCGGCCAAATATGAGTGGTTAACCACTGCCTCCTTTTTAAAAATAAATAAATCTCTGTCCATTTTTCCCCCTTTTTCTAAATTTCCTGGTCTTTCGGTGTGAATTGCAACCAAGCCCAGTCAATGCAAAGCTTTATTGCTTAGCTGTCAAAAGATGTCAAACCCTATTGAGACATATCGAGCTTCCCTTAGACCTTCCGTTGCTTCCGAGGCTGCTTTTTACGAGGGGGAGCGGCAACAAAGGGGTTCCCCCCACTCACTTCCAAAGGAGCCGAGAAGTCCGGCTAGCTAGCCGCTCAGCGCTCCGGAGGCAGACCTCGTTCCCTTCCCACCACGACACAACCTGGCTTCAGAAAAGTCCCTCATCCTCTTACCTTTCCCGCAAACGTTTGGCCATGTGGAGCCTTAGAGACGGCCGTTGTTGCCGCCGCTATTCCCACTGCAAGGAAAATCCGAACGGAAGGAATTCCAAAACAATGACCCAAACGAACCGCCGCCCCCGCCAAAATTCAAACTCGAAGGAAAAGTGTGGTCGAACGTCAGGCTGGGTCGGGACGCCCTATGATTGGCCCATCGCATTGGCGCGTTGTTTCCGGCGCTGCCGAAACAGCCAATCCACGGGAAGAGAAGAAAATGAGGGGTGGAGCCCGCTCGCCTTTAAAATAAACTTCCACCTTCGGCGTTTCGCGTGAGATGATTGGTTGGCCGGTTAGAAACGAGGACAATTTTATTTAAAAAAAAAAAAAAAAAAAGCCAGAGGAGAAAGGAAGGTCTGTAGTTAAAGTAGGGCTGATGGGGAACTTGAGGGGAGCTTATAGAAGAACGAACGGAGTTCATATTATCTTCATTCCGCTGTGGATGGAATAACGGCGATCTCTGAAGACAGACCCGGGAAGGCTGCTTTGGAAATCAATCCCCATTGACTCCCATGGAACTTGCTCGCTAGTTAAATGAGTTTAGCGTCATTGAGATTTTACAGCCCTAGATGGGTTTCCTCGAAGATGGATCCTGTTTTGTCCAGAATCGCTCTTATAGCAGTTATGAATACAAAATCCCATTGCATGTAGGATTAACTGATCGTAATTTGTTAATGTGTTCCGGCGTGGTGTTAAACAGACTCGGTGGAGACTAAATGAAATTTGTAGGATTATATGGGGCTTAATTTGTAAACAAAATAAAAAAATCATGGGCCAATTAAATAAAAAACATAGCAGAGAAAAACCACACAGTCAACTAGAGTTAGTCTTTTCTTTAGCATAACCTCCAGCTTCCCTAGTTTCCTAGAGAGCTACAGTATATGAGACCTGCATAATATGCGTGCATGGTATCGATTAAACCTATTTATTTAAGCATAAATTACTGGTAGCCGCTTGTTGCTCACTCTCACGTTATCTCAGAAGTTGAATGCACGGAACTTGCTCACTCTTGGGTAATAGGGCCCAATATTTGGCAAGTCCTAAGCAGAATGGATCATTCACAGTAAATCATTATTCCAGCGCAATCGATTTCCTCGGAAACGTGACCCTAGTGCTGGCTGGGGTTTCTTATTCCAATAAAGATAATATTTTTGCGAGGCAGCCCCATCCAACCTTGGCATCGATGGGAAACTCTTCATTGGCTTTTAGGGCTGGGAGGAAAAGCAGGAAGTAACATGGAGGGAAGGACCATATTTTGTAGAGGGGGGTCTTGGCAAAAATATGGCGGACAGCAACTATGGAATAAAACAGGAGGCACTAATGTTTCCAACGTCCATTTTCCTCATGAAATCTGCTCCCTATATTAGCGAAGAAATTGGGTGGTAAAACATGATAAAATAGCTAATGATAGTATGGATATCAACTTGCTCCCCCGTTTGAGAGGAATAGAGTGTGCCGGATAGTGGTGTCAAGCGCAGCTGGAAAGGCGGGGGAATTTCAGATCCGCTGCGCTATGAAGTCGGGTAAAACATGGAGTTTTGTGCAGTTATTGAGCCTGATCCTAATGAAAGCGACTTTCGGGTCTGTCCATATAAACGTGGATCTCTCACGCCCTACAGGCGAGTTGAGGCATTTTTGGAAGAGCACGGGATATTGGTAAGAAATGACGGGTTGCTTATGCAGTGAAGTCATGCGGTTTGCAGTTTGAAAAAAGCAAATTGAAGACATTGTTTATATATTTGCAGTTAACTTCGCAAAGTCAAGGTTTTCACTCTTCTCCTTTTTTATAGTGCAAAAGTAAGGTAAAGCAAAGACAATCAAAATACACATTCCTCCGATACATACCTCTGATTTTTCAAGATTGGTTTGTGATATGTAATTTTTATGCAAATGCCTTCATTATTTGTAAATACAATCCATTCAAAGTGAGAGTTAGTACAATTTCCTTTAGCCCTGAGGTTAGGTTGCAATTCTAAATACACTATAGCACAACGTAACACACAATAGAGCAACAATTATTTCTTTAAGAAAGCATAATGCATTGTGGAAAAATGAGCTAGGGATTCAGAAATCTCTTCCTGGAAATCTCACACCATGAACCCATAGGGAAGCAATGATCTAATGCAGCCCTCCCTCTTTTTGCAATATGTAAATAATATATCCTTAAGAAAGGTGGGTGGTTCAAAAACATGAAAAATAAAAAATTTGGCTTACCTAATGGTAGCCGAAAACATAAGCAGAGGGTGAAAGGTTGGAGGTTTATAACCCCTACTTCAGAATCCTTGGGGACTATCCACCATAGCTCTCTTCAGCCTTGGGGTGCAATTTGGTAGGTTAATGCTGACACTACCTGCTTTCTAAGGAGATGCACTTATCTGTTTTTTTCTCCTTCCCCAATCATAGTGAGTGCATTTGTAATGATATATGGAAATGATCTTATGAGATAGGCAGGAGGGAGAGCTGGAGACTAGATCATCGGCTTGTAAAAGAGATCTTGGCCCACAGAACAGGGGTGGGAAATAACGACTCGTGGATTTGGCTCAGGAATTCAGGGAGTTGAAAGCCATGGTTCCAGACCCCTGCCATAGAAGGAGGGAGAGCAGAGGGGAACGTTTCAAAGGTGCCCTTCCATAGTTTTCTAAAGGCAGAGATAAATAATTTCAGACTTGCAGGATTCTGATCATGTAAACTTACAAGAAAAATAGAGCTAGTATTGCTGTTTGTGCTTGTGGGAACTACCTAATAGGCCTAACGGCATAAGGGGAGAGTCCCATAGTCTTTTCATGCTACTGACAAATAAAAGGGGAAACAAAACGAGAAGGGAAATTCTATAGCTCCATCTTCTGCCTCTGTACAGTTTAGGGCACCTGTCTAGAGCAAGCTTTTTAAACTGGCTTTCTGCAGCACTCTAGGGTTCCGGAAGAAGTCACATAGGGGTTTCATAAGAGATCATGGGGGGGGGGGGATAAACATTTATTAACCTTCACCTGCTGTGCAATGCTGGATCACAGTGTGATTATTTTTATTTACTGCAATTCAGCTGCCCACCTGCCACTTTGCTGTTGGTGTCAGCGTTGCAAAAATGTGAATTGTGTAGGTTAGAGGTGAACTGCATTGTGATATAAAAAGGTTGAAAAAGGCTGGCCTAGGAAAATCATTACCTTTTGTATGGAGAGATGGACCTATCTCACTGAAGAATAAGAAAAGAATGAACAAAATTTAATGAAAATATAAATATATTTTAAAATAGCTACCTGTAAAATATTCATTGGAAAAGTTAATAAAGATGTAGAGCAATTCAAAACACAAAAGCATCTGCAAAAAACTTGCAACAGAAAAACACATTTAGGACGGTATAAATTTCTGAGCAATTCACAAGATTGAACTGCTACTAATCTAAAAGCAATTCAGATGCAAAAAAACTACCAGTTTGTACAAGAAAAAAAAATCAAAGTGAGCTTGCATTGAGTAACAACCAGAGGAAAATAAACATAAAAACCTTTAACATAAAAATAATTTTATGCATTGTTCCTAACTAAACCTGTTGCCTGCTCTTGCCTACTGAAGGTGAAGTCTTTTGTGTGTGTTTTTGTTTGTTCTTTATCCTAACTTCTTTTAATTTTTCCCCTTTTAATCAAGAGCCTGGAGGGATTCCCGTTCCTAATTCAGCAAAAAAAAAATCCCTTCCCTTTTCTACCTGAGTTTTCCAAACTTCCAATCTCTAAAGTCTGCATTTGTACATGACTTCAGGGTGTCAAATTGTCACTTGTGCAGATGTAGTTTGAAAGGATGTCTATTAGGCATAGAGGTAGTTCTCACTTAAACACTTTTTCAGCGACCACTTGAAATTAGAACACTTTTGAAAAAGACCTATGACCAGTTCTCAAAGCTGCAGTTGTCACAGTATCCTGGGTTTACATGATTACCATTTGAGAATTTCATAACCAGAATTTCATAACCAGATTCCAACAAGCAAAGTCAGTGGGGAAGCTGGCAGAAAGTCGCAAGTCGCTGTTATACGATGTTGCGCTGAACAATCATAGGTGATTTTCTTAACAAGTTGCGTACTTTATTATTTATTTTTATTTAATATTATTTATTATTTACTTTACGGTTATGTTGCTTAGCAGTTGCCAGTCTCAATTGCAGTTGGTAAGTAAGAATTACTTGTCTCTTAAGCTTTACTGACTGGTAAGAAAACTTGATTTACAAGGCTGTTATATGGATTGCTAAGATATCTGATGTGAGAAATTTTGAACTATCAGAAATGCTACCTATATTAAGTAATATATTTTCCTCATTTTTTTTCAGTCCTCCTCTACCACACAGACGAGCAGATTTGTTTAATCTCAGTAAAGACCAAATAATTAATTTGGCTTATATTTCATCTGTGCCACAAAATGGTATTGAACAAATTCGAATCCATTGGCTGCTGGAACTTATTCAAGCTGAGTAAGTTACATTCTTTACTCTCTCTCTCTCATTTGTAGTTTTTTTATGTTTGTCTAAGCCACCAAAGAGTTTTTCTGAATTAAAGAAAACTTATTAAGAGATGGCTTGGGAACCATTTGTAAGCCATGCTAGTTTGGACAAAAAACTAGCTTTTCAAAATAAGGATTTCTGATAACAGACAATGTTTCTTGAAATATATTTTTGTGGGAATTCCCAGCATGATTCATAAGGGATCATTTAGAATGTTTCAAAGCATAACATCTCAGTTTGCATTGGGTCTGCTTGGTTACTACAAGGGCTACCTAGAAAATGCTTTGGATGATATTTTTGCTTTAAAGGTGATTTTACAGCTGAATAATTAACAGATGTTCTTTGCATGTAAAATATCTTGATTATACAGGGGCATGTATTTTCTTGTGGTTATAATATCAGAAGTTATCCAGAAGATGTCTATGTAGCCTCTCAGAATATACAGCAATAGAAAGGAATGATACTTCTGTTGTTTCTGAGGACTGATATGGCTGCTCTCTGGCCACACCGTGGTTTGGCTTTGATGACATAGCAAGAAATAGTGCAAGCCAGACAGATAAAACATGTTAATTAAGACAGAGTCCATCATTCTTCTGTAACCTACAATTTCCAACCTCAGAAGGTGGGTGAGCAAGGTTTGTATTTGGAGAAATGTGAGTGGTGTGAGATGATTACCAGGAAGGTGCTTAGATATATTCAAACAGAATTCAAAGAGCCCCCTAATGAGGATAGTTTTATTTGGTTTTTTGTATTGAGCAGCACAAGGGAGTTAGACTCAGTGGTCCATGTGACTTCTTTGATTGTATAGGATTCTGTACAGTACTTTGAATTGTGCCTGCTTCAGTGGAAAGTTCAGTTGGAGGAACTTAAATGTGCTCACTAGTATAAGATTATTTGTCTGTATGTCTTTATCTATCTCTGTCTATCTATCTATCTATCTATCTATCTATCTATCTATCTATCTATCTATCAGCCAGATTTGTGAACAACAATTAGTTTTCAGTAGAATTTATATATACTTGCTTCAAGAGGTACTGAAGAACTATGTGGTCTACCCTGTCTTCTGATGGGCTCTGAATCAACAGTTTTCTTAATTAAAAAAACAAAAACAAATTAAGCATTCCATTTTGTGGACCTCACTTGAAGAAGCAGCTGTCTTCCAGTTCAGAGATTTTTCAGACAGTGAATTAAAATTGAAAGACTGTGTGTCAGAATTGCAATTTGGGGTGTGTAGTATTATGAACTCCTGAAGAAACAATAGAAAATATTTCCTTAAATGTATATGATATGCACAGTGTTTTTCAGAAGAGATATCAATTCATCTATTACAGCAGACACGTTCAATTTACTAATCTTTGTTGGCTGTCAGTTGAAGCCTCTTTGAAGATGGAGGATTATTTTTTTTATAAAGCAGTTGAGGATATCTGGACAGAAACTTTCTGATGTGTGATTCAGTGATTTCCCCTTTGTACTATAAAATGATGTAATTGTAAAAGTACACAAAGAGCCTTAGTAAATACTTCGTAATGAATTGTATGAAGGAAGGGAAGAAAATTGAGACCCAATAAATAAAGCACAGTGGACAAAATGTAGGAAGGAGGAACTTTACAACTGTATGGAAAAAGAACTGTAAAGTTTCTTCCAATCAGAGATCAATTTCTACAAAGAGATCCTAAAATTGAAATCATACATTCTGGTTTTTTTCTTTTATTTTAAGTGTTTGAGAATAGCCTACATAGCTCATTATACTGAGAGGCACATTATTGCATAAAGTATTTCAGAGCTATTCCTGGGTTTCAACAGAAATTTTGGAATACTATATATCCTGAAATTGCTGCAGATGTGACTTGGACTTACAAGCTAAGTAGGGTCAGATTTGCTTCATACATGGATGGAAAACCATCAAGATATTTTTGGGCTAGAGACTACGCTGTGAAGGGCTGGAAGCCATGCTGTGTTGCTGCCCAGAAAACCACAAGGATGTGCCATGTAGTCATCAGAAGCTGAGATTGACTGGAACACTGTTTTATAACTGAATAACAGAGTTGGAAGGGACTTTGGAGATCTTCTAGTCCAATCCCCCACTAAGGCAGGAAATCCTACTACACCATTTCAGACAAATTATTGTCCAATCTCTTCTTAAAAACTAAGTGTTGGAGAATCCACATTCTAGAGGCAAGTCATTCCATTGATTAATTGTCCTGTCAAGAAATTTCTCCTTAGTTCTTAGTTGCTTCTCTCCTTGATTAGTTTCCATCCACTACTTCTTGTCTTGCCCTCAGGTGCTTTGGAGAATAGGCTGACTTCCTCTTCTTTGTGGCAGCCCCTTAGATCAGGGCTGTCAAACTCCCAGCTCACGGGCCGGATGCGTCACGTGCTGGCCACACCCACGCCTGGTTTAGCGAAGGGGGAAAAGTCCCGAGTTTTACATTCCTGCCTTAGATAATTGGAACACTGCCATCATGACTTCTCCTAGGTCACCAAAATTAAGTCCAGGTAGTCCTCGACTTACAACCATTTGTTTAGTGACTCTTCAGTGTTATAAAGCACTGGAAAAAGTGACTTATCGTTTTTCACACCACCATCTCCATGATCATGTGATCAAAATTCAGACACTTGGCAATGGACTCCTATTTATGACATTTGCAGTGTCCTGGAGTCATGTGATCAACTTTTGTGACCTTCTGACAAGCAAAGTCAATGGGGAAGAGAGATTCATTTAACAACCATATTACTAATTTAACAACTGCAAGGTTTCACTTAACTATTGTGGCAAGAAAGGTCATAAAATGGAGAAAAATTCACTTAACCACTTATCTCACTTAACAACATAAATTTTGGGCTCCATTGTGTGTCGTAAATCAAGGACTACCTGTAATTATGGTTTAGAAAAAATACATTTAAGTCTTCTCTGTTATTGGCTAAGTTGCCCTAGATAGCAAGACTGTTTCTATCTACTACAGTGAAAGGTATCAATTTTGTCTTTAATCACAAAATGCTGTGAGCTGTTTCTGGCTGATAGGATACACATTAAAAATAATTGTTTTAGAAGAAGATGATCTGCAGTTTAGCAAGCAAAGTTTGAACCTCCAACATAAGTAAGCGAAGCTATTGTCTCTGTGGGGCTTATCCTTTCTGAACATAACTTCTGGTGTTTCTTGCTTTTATCTTAAATTACCATTAAGATAAATCAAGAAATATTTCATTACTGTATTTTATTATCTAACCATTGATAAAAAAAGGTCCCAAATTTTATAAAATTGTTTATCCTCTTGTTCTCTAATTTCAAATGTCAATCTACTCATTTCAGCACATTCCAATATTTTCTTAATGATTTCCTCCTGCGATGGTATTTTCTCATTTTTCCAGTTTTTAGCAAATAGATAATAAAATACAGTAATGAAATATGTAGATTTTTAGAAAATAATAAATATATAAAGATGTATTTCTTTTTTATTATATCTACAAAATGTTTTTAGGATAGATTTGGGAGGATAATATGAATTGTTATAAAATAAACTAAGTAAATTATGGTTATCTCGTAAAATATGAATGAATAAAACTATAGTCAAATGATTGATTAATAATGATACTAGGGTGTTTAATCTTTGATTGATAATATGAGCTTTTATGTGATGTAACTGTAATTGATGACTACGAAATGGATGCACAAAATAATTTGTAAACCAACCGGCACACTGTTTGTATATCTATGGAAGAAAGTTTGATGTTTTTATGTTTTGTTTGTTTATGTTTGTTTTTAAAAACCAATAAAATTTACAAAAAAAAAAGATAAATCAAGAAATAGAGCCTTCATTCATCCAATGCTGGACGAAACCTTAAAAAGAAACTCTGAAAAGAAAAAGAAGTACAGGACTCCATGAAAGAAATACCTAATCTTCAGTAAAGAAGACTTAAGAGAACAGTATATCTTGAGGCAAATATATTGCTAAAGAATGGCTTAGTGTTACAAAAATGAGTTGCAGTAAGTTAACAAATTATGGTAGGAAACAACACCTTGAACCTTATTTGTTTACAGAAACACTTGATATAAGTCACATGAGATTGAACATAATGGCAAACATTCCTTTTTTCAACACTGAGGATGGAAGCTTTTGGTCTCCTTTAAATGAAGAACAGGGAGAGGAAGAACAAGATCAGGGGTCAAAACACTATCCAATGATCAAGAGTTAGAACAAAACTGTTTTTGTTTATAGTTATATTCAACAATGTCTAACTTTATTTGATTTAAGATTTCATTTGTGGGTTACAGTGCTTACCTAAAAGCTTTGGAAATGTGTTCCATATGACCAAACGGGGCTCAAGGAAGCACCCAGTCCAAGCATGTTGAAACCACAATCTGTCTATAATGAACACAAAATCTCCAAACTGCCAATTACTGGACTAAACAACAGAGTCATCCGTTGTAATTTCCTTCTCTCTTACAAACTGGACAGCACTAGATATACTATGAAACAGAAATTCGTGCATGTCTTTGTCTGCGCTCTCAAAATAGCCTCCTTTTTCCAGGGAAGATATCACTGAAGGATTACAGCAAGCCAAATGTATGCTGATCTCCAGTTCCTGATAGTCTTTGAATGTTTCTTTCAATACGCTGACCCCAGCTGTGTCCAAAAATGGAATAGAAGAGCAATCGATGATGATTGTATGAAAGTCACCATCTTCCGCAACCAAGCATGGTGCCATTTCTTTCTGTCCTAATATATTATCCAGATTTTGTTGCCCTTTCCTCCTGGACTTTTTCCTTTTGGCAACTTCAAGTGCAGGATTCATCCCTGTCCTGTTGTGGAGGCACTTTAGGAAGAAGTCCTTGTTCGCATAATAAAGTGGTGCTTCAAAACGGAAGATTTTGATCTTTGGAACCGGGAGAAGGTCTTTATATTCTTCGTCGTCTTCATAGAAGACACTGTTCCCGATTTGCCCTAACAAGGCAGCATGTGGGCACTGGG